AAGGTCAAATCTTTTTTTTTTTTTCCAAAGTATATGCATTTAAGGACTACAAACTCAGGCTAAACATGAACCGTTTTACTTTATAATAGCAACTACTATGAAATTTGTGAAAAAGAGATAATTCAAGTCACCTTAGCTATTTCTCTGGAAGGACCTTAACAAAGAGCAGCTTTTTTCTTTCTGTATAAATGCCTTGTGAACTTACTGCTATACTCTTGCTGAGGTCTTCCGATTGAACTCTCCTGGTTTCAACTAATTCAATTCCTAACCAGCAGGTATTGTTAAAGCATGCTGTGTGCACATATTTCTAGCTTTGATAATACAGAGAGGAACAGGCAAATAGTCACCAAATCAAGATAGGCACATTGTTCTTGCTTTAAATAGTCACATCATCCTGGCATTCTGTTTCTTTTTAATTTTTTTCCTTTTTTCATTCATTCATATATCCCAATCTGTAATTTAAGTTTATGATTGCTTGAAAGGGTGATTAGCTTATGTTCATTATTATGGCAGACATCTTGGAAGTGTGAATTAATTATATTACTCTTTCTTAAGAGAAATACTCAATAAACTACTTAATGGTTCATGATGTCCTGAAAAATGTGGATGAAAGTGAGTCAGTCTGGTAGGCTGAATGCACAAACTTAAACATGATACAAAATCTTTGTATACTTTTTCCTTACCACTGTAAAAGTACACTTCTTACTAAAGAATTCAAGCAATACACATGTTAGTTAATGACTAAATATATCTAAATGCCTTATTCTCTCATAAAAGAAATTAATATTAATGCTATTGGTAAAATTTCTTTTGTGGTTATTTTCAAACAAGCTATTCCAAAAAAGACATTCAGGCAATGATGCCATGGAATAAATTCTATCATTATTTAATCATACCTATTAAATATTTCAGTAAAATAATGTGCACAAAACATCAAAATTACAACTGTAGAATGTAAACTGTTTTATTGTTGCTGAAGTGCAATTTAAAATAACCTTTAAAGAACTCTGGTATACCACTTCCAGGCATAAATATTTTCTGTGTGCATCAATAATGAATATTATTTTTTCCCTTCATCCCTTAAGTAAGGAAAGTTGCAACCTTGCCATTGTATTATCTTAAAGGCCAACCAAAAGAGCCAAAAAGTCATATCCCTTAGAGGACTGGAAGGCAACTAAAATAATTCTAAGTGAAAACATTGCTATTTAATTTTTACACAATTAGCTCTTGTTGATAGAAATTGCTTTAATATGTGATTTGTTTAGTGTACAAAGTTTGGGATAAAACTACTTTTGAATCAATGTAAGAATGATGATGAGTGTATTATATTTTGTAATACAAATACACAGTATAAAAGTATGGGATACTTATTTTAGGCATTAGAATTTAAATTGTATTCCAGGGCCTCCCTGGTGGCCTGGGGGTTAAGTCTCAGTGCTATCACCACTATGGCCTGAGTTTGAGCCCTGTCCAGAGAGCCAACCCACATAAAACCTCTCCTGTCTCTCTTGGGCTCCCCTCAGCAGTGCATTTCATGGATTCGCCTGTTCTGCTCCTCACTCTGTCTCTGGTGAATCCTCTCACCCACTGCACCTCTGGCCTATACCCCAATTCTTGTATGCATAAATACATAAATCTTATTTTATTTATTTTTTTAAGATTTATTTATTTTTTTATGCAAGATCCGGGGTACAGACCAGATGTATGGGAGGGTGAGAGGATTCACCAGAGACAGAGCGGGGAACAGAACAGGCAAACTGACGAAATACACTGCTGAGGGGAGCAGCGAGTGAGACAGGAGAGGTCTGCCACACCATGTGGGATTCTCCCCGGCCGGCCGGGATCGAACCAGCGCTGCAGAGGCTGCAGACAGCTTCACAGTGTGGGGCTCAACCATCTGCGCCATCGGGGAGGCCCAGTAAATAAATTTAAAAAAAAAATCCAAATGCTAGTATCCAAGAGATCTGTATGTATTTGAGAAACTACAATCAATGATAGTATAGGGCCTTCCCGGTGGCGCAGCGGTTGAGCGCTGGGTTGCGTAGCTGCCCGCAGCCTCTGCAGCTCCGGTTCGATCCCCGGCTGCTCCCCGGCCACCAGAGGAGGGTCCCACATGGCGCGCAGACCCCCTCCCGCCGCCCCCTGCTCCCCTCAGCAGTGTACTTCGGTCCTTCTGCCTGCTCTGCTCCCCGCTCTGGCTCTGGAATTCTCTCACCCTCCCGCGCTTCTGATTGTACCCAGTGCATGTATAAATAAATAAAAATAAATCTTAAAAAAAAAGAATTTATTAAAAAAATAGTATATACATGTAGCAGTATAAAAATGAAAAAACTTTCTTCCGCAGTGGCAAAATAAAACTATTTATATAGAATGGAAATAAATTATTAAATAAATAGGAAGATTAAGTGTAAGTGAATAATTCCACTGTGATATTTCAATATTTTTATATGCCATTATAGAAAATATATAAAGATGCTGTCTCTTGTAGTCTTTAGAAAACCTAAATATGTAAACTACTGGAGGCATGCTTTATAACAAAGAAAATAGTTTTACTGGATGGGGCACTAGTTCTAAAACTAGGACTCTGAAGACACATTACCTTCTTTTTCAATTTCAAAAAGCTCCTGTCTGCTAGAGAAGAGGGTGCTGAATGCAAGTATGTACTCATGCAATCCAATGTTTTGCATTATTTTGCGTTTGCTTCTTCTACTCACTGGTGTATTTTAGAGATCATGATTCACAAGGATCAATGATTTGATTGTTTCCATTATATGAATATATGTCACAATTTCTTTTTTTAAGATGTATTTATGTATACAAGAACTGGGATATAGTTCAAAGGTGTGGGGTGTGAGAGGATTCACCAGAGACAAAATGGAGAGCAGAACAGGCAGATCTACTGAAACCCACTGCTGAGGGGAGCAGCAGGTGAGACAGGAGAGGTCTGCTGTGTGGGTCAGCTATCTGTTTGGGGATCAAACTCATGTTACAGTGGCTGATGATAGCTTGATAGTGCTGTGTCTTTAACCCCTGTGCCACCAGGGAAGCCCTAAATGACAATTTCTTGATGTATACTCTCATGATTCTGTGAATTTTTTTTTTTTTTTGAAATTGCAGCTATTGGGAATAAATCTATTTAGCACATACTTGTACAAGTCTTTTTGTAAACATATGTACTCATTTCTCTTGAATATCTACTTATAAGTTTTTGATAACAGGGTAAGCAGATGTGCTGGAACAACCTCATATCACCTCATTAATGCTGTTAAATTTTTAAGAATTTTATTACAATTATATAAGTTTACACTTAAAGTATATTAGAAAGAATGCATTAATTCTCAAAACTCATCAGACCTTAATTGGTTTACTGTTTTAAATTTATTTATGCTATTGAGATTAATTTATATCTTGTATATCTGTATGGTACAAATGCTATAATGAGCTGTGCCTTCGTCCATCTTTTTCTCCAACGCAGCATTCAGTAATGTATCTATAAATACGAAACCAGATATGATGAGAAAATTTAGAACTTAGACTTTGGTAATCTTCACAAATTAAGGACTCACCATTTGCTTTTTGTTTGTCAAGACTTAAGAAACTTAAAGAAAAAATGATACACATGTAGATTAAACTTTAAAACATGTCAAAAGTACAGACATTACGTTGTGGAAAATCACAAAAACTCAAAAAAAATCTGGTATTCCGGACTGTTATATGAGTCAATAAGTAAGTGTCACAGTCATCAATGAAATAATGGCAAACATCTGTTTCACTTATGCCTTGTTGGTGAAGGTAACAAAAAACGTAAAACAAAAATATCAATAAATACTCGTGTCACAGTTGCACTTGTTTATTAGTTGCAACCACAAATTAGCAACAGTTACAAAACATCCTTTCATTAAGAGAAATTAATTACAGAGAATTTATAATAAATCAAATTGTGTATTTAGTATTACTTGGCATTATTTGTACATCGCACATACATGCATGTGTACATTGGTTACTAGATATAATTTATATCATCAGAATTTATAATAATTTTTTCAATGTACTGACATGCGTACATTTATTTTTTAAGAGCTGGTTGTTAAACATTTGCCAACAAACATCTTAGAAAACTAATTAATTTGAAATTAACTGCTAAAGTGTTAACTGTTTTCTTAAGTGGATATATAATGTTTTGTTACCATGAGGAATATACATCTTCTCTAATATTGTTATTCTTTTTAAAATGGTAGCCATTTTATTGTTTTTAGTATTATAATGTGATTTTAATTTATACTTCCTGTTGCAAATTATGTCGTTTTTTTATTTGCAATTTGTATATGTTCTATAATGAAGTGTTTGTACAAGACATTTATGATCTAAATGAATTTTTCTCTTTTCTAATCAATATGTGACAGTTTTTATGTTATGAATATAATTACTTTTGAAGACATATGCATCTTAAATGCTTCCTCTCAGTCTGTCGTTTGACAAAAAAATACCATTTTCCTCCAGTTTTGACGTATAGTTGTTAAATAAAAATCATAAACATTAGGACATATAATATGATTTGATACATGTGTGTGTTGTGAAATGAATACCAATATCAAGCTAATTAACCTATCACCTCATGGCGGTTACCATTTATTTTTGTGGTGAGAACACAAGTTCCACTCTTTCAGCAAAATTCAGTTATACAACACAGTATTGTTAACTATAGGCATCATATGTGACAAATAATTCAGAGTGATTTTGATGTTGGGATGAGATGAAGATTTTGTTGAGTTCACGATTAAATTAAAAACCATTACCAACATTTTTAAAGACAGCTTAGCAATGCCAACATTACATTCTTTACTGCTTAAACTCTCTGCCAGTCATTACACATAATTATGATATGCTGACAATTTGGCTCTCTGAAAAAAAGAAATCTCTGATTGTTAGCATTTGCTGATATTGATGATTCACCTATCATGTCTGGTTTTATTACTAATAACTTAATAATCCATTCACAGTATTTCACAGTTGTCTCCTGAAAATGAATACAAGCCTGCAACAGTGAGTCTACTTGCATTTTTGAACATTGATGAGTTGTTAAACAAAATATTCTTTAAATAAAAGTAATTATATTTGAGGTAAAGGGATTTGAATTTAGTTTATTTCCCATATTTCAGATGTGAAATTAATAGCCTTAGGACTTATGCAGGTCAAATTAGAAATAAACATGCTGACTATTTGAATGTACATTCATTTCATATACTATTAGCTTAATTGAATTATTGTATGTTTTTAGTAACTCTTGGAAAATGTTTATGGGGATTATAAGTATTTAATCCAGTAAAGTTTAAGTTAGAAGATGGGTTAATGAGCTGTCATTAGACATAATATTTTAAAATAGTTTAAAAACATGACAGAATTACTATAGTATATTCAGTACAAAAATCATTAAGGTATTTTATTAGAAAATATTTTATATATTTAGTGATTGTTCAGCATTCATTACATGTATTTACACTAAACAAATGTATGTATACATAGTCAATATATACACATAAAATGTACATAAAATATATTATCCACTCTACATATTTATATGTATGCGTTTTATATATTGTTGTTAAAGAAATTTTTCACATGTAAGATTTATAATTACTTTTTCCATTTTTCCTCTATTTTTCCAATATTCTACATTTTTTGTAACTGTATTTTATTCTGTGATTTCAAATCTGATATATAATTTTGCATGCGGAAATGAGAAAGGACTTATTGTTGCTCAAGGATACTATATAATATAATTTTAAAATCTGAGGTTATTGCATGTAACTGGAAATATCATTTAATCAATAATCAATGATAAAAAAAATTGCAAAATACACAATAGTAAAAAGTATTCAATATTACTCATACATTCATATAGCCAATTGTTCATTTATTTCTCTAAATTTTATAATCTACCAAAACCCATTTTTTAAAATCTACTTCTTTAATAGGGAAAATATGTATATGGATTCATGCATACTCACAAAATTAATGTATATAAAAGAATGCCTACTGTGTTACTATGTATACGTAACATTCAAAACAGGCAAAACTATATGTTAGAAGTAAGGGTAGTGGTATAGAAGTGGAGGGAGTAGTATTCTATGGTTTGATCTGGAATCTGGTTACATACATGTGTTTATTATGTGAAAATTTATCGACTGGCACACATGGCTTCTATACTTTTCTGTGTGTATATGTCTGTTGGTAGAAGGCTCATGATAGTAAAATTAAGGTGGCAGCAAAATTTCTCCTTTCTGGAGGATCTAGGGGAGAATCTATTTCCTTATTTATTGAGATTCATAGGAAAATTCAGTTTCAAAAGGATGTAGGGCCATGATCCCATTTCTTTGCTGTTTATAAGGTGGGGGTCATTCCTAGGTTCCAGAGGCCATCCATATTCCATGGTTCATGGCCTCTTTCTTCCATCTTCAAAGCCAATAACAGAGGGTTGGGTCCCTTTCATGCTTCAAATCTCTCCTGTCTTTTCTTGTAGGTTTGCAGCTCTCTCTCTCTGATCTCCTTTTCTGCCTTTCCTTTCTACTTTAGAAGGCCCAGGTGATTACATTGGACTCACCCAAATATTCAAGGCTAATATATCTTTTTTTTTAAGATTTATTTTTTATTTAGACAAGTGCTGGGGTATAGGCCAGAGGCGCAAGAGGGTGAGAGGATTCACCAGAGACAGAGCGGGAACAGAACAGGCAGACTGACAAAACACACTGTAGAGGGGAGCAGCAGGCGAGACAGGAGAGGTCTGCCACGCCATGTGGGATTCTCACTGGCTGGCTGGGATCGAACCCACGCTGCACAGGCTGCGAACAGCCTCACAGTGTGGCGCTCAACCACCTGCGCCATCAGGGAGGCCCTAATATATCTTTTTTTTAGGGTCGTAAGTTTACTTTAATGTGCAAAGTACATTTTATTGTATCAGGTAATAAATCCATGGGTGCTAAGTTCTATGGCTTAGTGGCTGCCATTATTCTGCCTACTATAGTGTTAAGCTTCAAATTAAAACTTTCCACAAAAAATTTTAAAAGCCATGTCCAGACAATAGTGACTCAAAAAAAATTATTTTTCTGTACAGCCTTCCTTGAGTGCTACATTTGCCCTCCAGCTTCCTGAGGCTCATAAACTATCAGTGATCAGTGAAAGTGAATCTGATATCCTTTTAAAAAATGTTTAATTAAGCCTGGAAAATCCTGACTACAATCTTCCCACGTGGGGAATCATAATATGCATTAATGTACAAAGTTTCTGAAATAATCTGTAATAAACTTGATTTCATTAGTCCAGTGTTTCCCAAGTATATTTGTACATGAAACATAAGTAAAATTGTCCTGTAAAAGTCTTAACATCACTCATAAGAAGTAATTTTCTTGATCTAGATATTGAATATGACTCTTTAAATCATTCAAATTATTTTTCTAGATATTAAATGTGACTCTTTAAATCATTCAAATTATTTTTTGTCATATACTTACTATATATTACTACATACTGGCAGGTGTGCTAAGTGTGGTAATGAAGGCCTTTCTTAGACCTCTCCAGATGATGCATTGCAGCCACACTTATCTCCTGAGAACATTGGTTGCTCATCTGCTTCTTTCCTCTTCCCTGTCTTTCTGAATGTTCATTCACTCACTCAATTTCAAGTGATAAACTCCTATCCATTCTTCAAGAACCACCTCAGATATCACCATCTCTGTAAAGATATCCCTGTCTCTTCCCGCTAGAATTATGTGTTTTCACCCTTCATAGCTATTTATAGTGTGTTCATAGATGTGAATTTATTTTGCTTGTGTGTTTTGGCTTAAGGAGAAGCAGTATATATGCCATGGCATAGTATAGAAATAGCTCCCTATCCATCCTCCCTGATTTCTAAATTGTTATTTATTCACCTTTAGTAAGTGAATACTATATTCCATTTACTTAGGAGACTTGAGAAAAAAAAAAAAACTGGCAAATGTCAAGACAACTTTATTAGAAGATTTTAGTTTGTTACAAAATGATAATTTCATTTATCATACTTAATTAGTAGTTAGTTATATGATTGACACGGCCACCACTTTTCCAAATTAGATGTTGAGCTTCTCAGTGATGAGGGAGGAAGCTCTGACTTATAGCAATTATTGTGTATGACACATACATAATATGTGCTCCTTAAAAATATGACTAATGAGTGATTAATACAAGTGATGGGTAGAATAAGGATAGGGTTAATATGTTAGGTAAATAAATCCAGTCAAATAAGTCTGCTTCAAAACCTACTGAATGTTTTCTTATTTTAAAGAATGTTTGCATCAAAGAAAAATACCACTTTAAATGCCTATACTTAGGACTCAAAATTGCCACCTCTTATTATTACCACTGGGTCATATTAAAGTCTCTTAAATCAGTAGATATTATGGAATGAAGTACCATTCAAAAGTGTTTATACTCATTATAATAGGACAAAGAGTTAAGCAACTTATTAAAATGAGTAATATTTAATTTCTCTGTGATACAGCTAATATTTTATTTCTTTATTCTCTGGATTCATTTCAGTTATTAATTTCAATTCCATTAGCTTTCATATCACCTCAGTCTGTTACAGTATCATACGTTCACCTTTATTTTTACAGTCCACAATTATGGAACAATCCTGTGACTTTTACATCATACCTGCTCCATATCTGAGCCCACTTCTGAAAGTTACATCCAGGAAGACAATTTATTACATCTAAAGTGTCCTTTTAGTATTTTAGGAAAAATACTGAAGTGTTACCAGATGAACACATCCAGCATGTCCTACAATAAACAAGTAGGTAGAAATGAGGAATATAATTAGAACAGAGGAGAAAAGTCTCTGTGGTTTTTCCAAGAGAGTAATAGTAAATACGTTGTTGAAAGTTATTATTAGAGCTTGACTTTTTTGTTTTAATAAAATTAATATAAATTTTAAAAGATGAACTATTTTATTGGTATCAAATTATAGTACAGAATTTTCCTAATCCAGTGATAAGTTTTGATATTGTAGCTGTTGTTTAAAACGAAATGGTAAAAACTGTGTAAAACAACAAACCTAGAGAACAATTCTTATCAGAGACCTTTCAAAGCAGGCTTGGAATCCTACATTATGAATTATATTTTGGCAAATGTACTACTCATTTCACATGGAAAGCATTTTAAATGTGATTTTTGTTATGTGTATAAATATCATAAATATACTGATTTTGCAGACAAGCCTATCTTCAAATATAAGAACAAAAGTGTAAAAAGCTGGACTTTTGATTATGTTACACATGGTGTTTGTATTTTTTGCATAAAATGTAGATACAAAATTTCCCCAATATGGAAAAATAATTTTGTGAAAAATTAAAAACACATCTAAAGGAACTGTTTTACATAAATGAATTTAAATTAAACAGGTTCAGCTATTTAATGTGGAAACTTATGGCAGTTGTTTCATTTTCTGAAGCTGTTCATAACAAGTGTTATTTAATAAAAATACTATACATGCAATTTTTAGTGTAATTTTCATGAGCAGATCAGGTCGCTTAATATACCAAATGCCGTGCAAAGCTGATTAAGAAACATCAATTTACATTACATGGGCAGTTTATTAGAATTGCAAATTTAAATGCAGGCATTTGACAGCCTCAGCCTTCCCACATAATAAACCAAAACTGATGGTCTGTTGCACTTAAGAAAAGTTAGAAATTAGGATGTTTTATTAACGATTGAGTTCTAACATAAAAGCCAATGCCTAACTTGATCCCATCTTGGGCAATGGCTTTTATTGTCAGCACTGCTGTAAATTAATGCAGGAAAAGAAAGAAAACCTCTGTGGAATTTGTGATATCTTCGCTTTCCAGTTTGGTACACATTACATTTTCTTTTGTACTGCAGATTGTGGCTATATCTGTACCCTATATTACCATTTACTGTAAGTTATAATGACCAATGCACCATTTTCAAACTTCTCTTCTTCCTATTATTAGTGTGATATTATTTGAATGTGCCTCTTACAAGAGTAA